ATGGGGACAGCGGTGAGAGCAGAGTCCTGGGTCCTGGTCCGGGTGGCCTGTCTGCTCCTGGCGTTCCCTGCCACAGCCACTGGCGGGCACCACCACATCTAGCTAATTTTTCTATTTTTAGTAGAGACAGGGTCTCACTCTTGCTCAGGCTGGTCTGGAACTCCTGAGCTCAAGTGATCCTCCCGCCTCGGCCTCCCAGAGTGCCAGCACTGTAGACCTGAGCTACTGGGCCCGGCCTCCTATGGGCCTTGTATCTTCTTTGTTCCTCTGTTTATCCTTTAGTGCTTTCTTTGCATTATGTAAATATTTTCTAATGAAGTATTTAAATTTCTTTGATGATTTTTTTCACTATATATTTTTTAGTGTTGTTGCTGTTTTTAGTGGTTGTTCTAGGGCTTACCAGATACATTTTACCTTATCAGAATCAGCTTCAGATTTATACTAGCTTAATTCCAGTGAGATATAGAAACATTATTCCTACATATTCCTATTCCCTTTTCCACCTTTTTGTGGTATTATTGTTATATATATTCTATCTGTTAATGTTACAGACCCCAAAATAAACTGTATAATTATTACGTTACTGTTTTCATTTCCTTAGCCCAATACAGCTTTGCTTCCACTCACCTCCTCTGTGCTCTTATTGGCAAATACATTACATTTCTATATGTTATAGGCCCAATAATACACTATGTCCGTATTCTTTTATGCAATTGTTATTTAAATCAGTTCAGATTTTAAAAAGTATTTTTACTGTCTTTTACAATTACAGATTTCCTCTTTAAACAGTAAAATAGGCACAGATACGGGAAATTACACAAACATCGCAATTGCTACCACACTATGGTGTGCCTTGTGTAGTCCTGCCCACCGTACTTAGTAATAACTTGTTTTATCCTCACAACAACCCTCTGAATCAGTCATTGCTGGCTCCATTTTACAGATGGGACAACTGAGCCTCAGAAAGATACTCTGGGACACATGGATGGTAAGAGACTATGTCAGCTTGGGGCCCACATCTGTCAGAAATCAATACTCATTTCACAGCATTACGTCTTTTCCCTTTGTTCAAGAAACTTAGGAATGTTCTCCAGTAAACTCTACTAAGTAACTCAGGAAAATAACATCCAGGCTTTCTGAGAGCTGATTCTTACCCCTAATGTAGTGTTGTATCAGAGCCGCCTGGTTGACCTGGCTGTCCATTCACTATCCTCTGTGCCCCATATGAGCACATGTGTCCTGGCCTGGCACAACTGCATCCCATATGGGCTGTGTGAAATGTTGTTTCTTCCCCGGGGAGAGGTGGCAGGAGTAGAGCCAGCTGTTGACAGAACTGGTCCTTGATGTCCACACAGAACTGGCCAAGGAGGTGCGCAGCTGGCTGGGGGAGTCTATGTGTGGCTGGCCCCCAGGCCCAGCAGGTGGACTGACAACCTTGTCTGTCTTCTCCACCTCCCCCTTCCCCTGCCCTTCAATCCACAGCTCTGAGTTACACAAACCAGGGTAGTTGGCTTGCAGCTAAGCCAACTTTGTCAGAGCCTGGGCAGCAGAAGAAAGCAGCTCCCTTACCTCCCCCAGCCTGATATCCACACTCCTATTGATGTGGCCACAGCCCACAGGTAAGGCTGGCAGAATGAGGCTATGAGGAGAGGAAGACGGTCAACAGAGAGGGATGTTGTCCAGGCCAGATGGTGTTGCTGGTAGTCTCTACTTTCCTGGTCCTGTCCTCTGTGTCCTTCCATCCCTGCCCCTTTAAACCTCGCACTGACTGTGAACCCACCACTTAATGTTCATTTAAAAAAATATGGAAAATAAAGGC